AGGTCAGGTGAGGGAGAAGACTCCATTACAGAGAAGGGTAGGAGTGTTAGGCTTATCCCAGGAATCCCCCTATCTGGAACCCATTTCTGTATATGACTGGGCAGGTCCCAGTTTTCAAAAAGTAGTGGAGGAGCCTCGCTTATCCCTGCTTCGCCCTTCATTTATTCCCCAGGAAGTCAAATTGTCCATAGAGGGTCGTTCAAATGCAGGGAAGTGAATTCTGATGGTGGGTGAACCACGGCCATGCTGGATAGTCTGGCCACTAATCAGTTTCTCTTGACACCCAAGAGATGTCCAGCTCCTCCTCCAGCTGTGTGCCTGAACCATTCTACCAGCAGAACTTCTTCCCATCTTCCCCTGCTTTCTGCAAGGTGAGATGAAGAGAGGGATCACAGGTCCCTTAAGACGCAAGCACTTTAATCAGACACTTGCTTATAAGTAGCAAGATGCTTTCACCAAGAGAGAAAAAGAGTTAGTCAGTCAGTGTGGGGGCTAAGGGAATTGTCCAGTCTTCTGCTCAGGTCTTGGTCAAGATATTTTGACTAATTGGTGTGGGCACTGCAGTAGTCCAGTTTGGGAGTTTCCGTGCCTCCTAAGGGAGATAGATATTTGTCTATCTTATTGTATTGAGAAGAAGCATCTAGCAATCCCGTTCAGAAAATCTGCTACCCAGTGCATAGTTTTGTAACTGTTGCCACATAGAACTAAGGCCTTTTTTAATAGGAGGGAAAGTAGATAGAAGCAGAACAAAGATTTCTGCTTATTGGCAGACTCCTTAAGTTTGCTGGCTCTGCATCCATTCTGCTATAACATCCCTGCCCAGGTAACACTGTTCTTCCATGAAAGCCGCATTCCGTTTCTGCTTTGGCTGCCAGTCCTTTCTCAAACATCCATTGCTGAGCCAGGGTTCAACTGTGTAGCTGCAAAGGCTATGGTGGAGGAAAGTGCCCTTTATCATTTGCCGGCTTCAACAGAGACTAAAAAAGGGCAGTAGACTTTTGGATTTTAGCAAGCAGTAAGTAAAAATGCTAAGTGGCTATCAGTTTTGGATCTGTTGCACTGGAAGTGATGCAGAGTTGCTTCATTTCATGGTGCCATGCTGAGCATCTCCCCGTCTTGTTACTGTGCTCTTAGCTCTAGGCAGAAGTTTACTGTGTTGCCTAGTTTGGTGTAATGACAAAATCTCCCTCCAAAACAGCTGTTACCACCACCAGGTCTAATAATTCTAAATGGATACCTTGGCTTATTTCTCACCTATGTTCTCCGATCCAGTGTGGCTTCAATTCCACCGCTTGGCAATTCTGATAGACCAGAGTGCTGAATTTCTACATCAGCCCATCCCTAATTCTAGATGAAAGGTGACCTTGCTTTTTCTGCTGGGCTCTTTGCTGGTTTGCCCCGAAGACCCTGGCGCTTTGCACTATTCCTAGCCACCTTTTGTCCAACATATATCTGCCTTTCTTAACTTCCTCTCAGGGTCCCCTGAACTTCCTCCGTGTGCCTCCCGACTAATCTCTGTGCTCCTCTGTCTGATGCCAGGTTAAGGGGCAGCAGTTTCATGGCTGCAAACAAGTTTAATCCTTTCTCTCAAAATAGGTAGCTGTCTCCCGGTTGCAATGCCAGTTGTCCATAGTTGTTGGAACGTATACCTTCAGTTTTGGACAGCTCAGCCGCGAGGGTCCAAAGTTTTGTTTGTGTGCCTGTGTGGCAGACGGCTCACCCTCCTGTTTTCAGAGGCATGTCTACAAGTTGACAAGACAGTTATAAGTTGCAGGCGTGTCTTTAGTCATTGCTTCGTGAGGCCCACAGAGACCAAGAGAGCCCGCTACTTAGAGCAATAAGCTATTTCTCTCATGTGACACTACAGAAAGTTGTGCCCAATTCTAGCAATTGCAGGGGAGGCTTCCTAATACCCAATATTGTGGGATTGGCATCTCCCTGGCTGTCCTGTTGCCCACGAACCCCAAGAACAATTCATCATTTGTCAGAGGCCCTTTCCTCTTGGGAGTTGCTTCAGTGGCCCCTTTCTTCAAGGGCACCTTGGCCTCAGAGGAGAGCTCCCTGAAGGGCTCGTGGAAGGGAAAGCCTTCTGCTGCCAATCGCGAGGGGGTCAGGGCAGGCCCAAAAGAAGCTCCTCTGAAGGTCCCTCTTCCTCCCTGGGACCTTTCCCAGACAGCACCTTAGCTGGCGAGGATGGGATGCTGGAGGCCACCAGAGCTGCACGTGTTGCAGCCCTACAACCAATCCTTATTTTTACTCTCTAGCCAGCGATATACTGGCAAAGGCCTTAGGACCAGCCAAACCCCCAACTGCTTTTCTCCTCCCTGATCTTTTAATGCCACATTACAGTCTAAGGAGGTTAATCTATTTTATTGTGCTTTTTTGTATCTGTTTTAAATAAATCCACATGTACTGTATATTTGTATTTGGGGTGAAATCCTTTTTCCTGTTTTATGATTTAATATTGCTGTAAATGCAGGCTGTATTTTTATTGTTAAGCTCTTCAAATTTGTTCCATTTAACTTGGCTACAAATGGCATAACACATGCACACACACACACACACTCACTCATATATACACATGTACCTACCTAATTATATGCCAATAGTTTTTTCTTTTGTGGAGCAAATTCTACCCAGAAGGTAAGGACTGGAATGCCAACTATAACTCAGCATCATTTTGACAATTTAACATGACTGTTAGTAATATTCACAGTAGATTCATTCATGGTGAACAGGGTGCTGCAGAGTGACAGATCATGAAGAACTCTCCTTCCCTCATTTTTCATGGTTTCCCCCCTATTGGTAATAACAACTGGTCTTCAAATGTGACATGGATGCCAAAGACATTCACTGGTTTTCACTGTCTTCCGACTATACAGTCGTGCTCAGTGTGAAAAAGGAAGACTGGTGCTGATATGGTCAAAATGGACAGAAGCAGTTCATCAAAACCTATGCAGCTCTCTAAGCTTACTTTTCTGTTAGCAAGTAATATGTTAAGACTGACAGCACTTAGGGTTGTCCCCAAACAACCGTTTTTAAACAACATTCTTAAAAGTTTGCATATTTGTGTGACGGCCTAATAAAGACATTGCTGTAAGATGGATTTGGGGATTTTGCTTATAGGCAGCAAAACTCAGTTGTTTTAAAAGACTGTCAGAGATTGAAGTTGGTCCATGACATGTTTGGATTTTTTAGACTGTAGCTAATGTCAAAGCATTTAGGATTCAAAAGAAAAACCAAATGGCTTAAATCCCAGATTGTGAACCAAAACATGCTAGACAGTTTGACTATCTGGTCATACTTTAAAGAGAACATATGCTTACTATTCATATATCCACACTTTTCAAGGAGAACATGAGGTATTGTTTTGAAGACCTTCCTGTCCAGAAGATAGGGCAACTTTGTAATGAAGTCAGTTGTTAAGGATTAATGTGAAAAAAACCTGCCAAAGCTTAAACAACAGAAGATGAATATCAGTAGACAGTGGAAATTGCCAAGAGAATCTGAACCTGAGAGAGTTCATGAAAGAATTTAAGAGATTTGTAGGGAGCAATTAGCAGTATCACATCTGTGAAGATGAAACAGACATGTAAAAACAATGTTTTCCAAAAGATCTCTTGCCTCAAAGTTTCAATCTCAAATTGGTTTGCTTAAAGATGCAGTTGACAAACAGTAATAATTTAAAGATCATCAAGCAAAAGTGGAAGGAGATTCTATTTGGTAAGGATAATTACCATCTGACAATATATTCTTTATTTATATGAAGCTCTAGTGCTAAAGTGGTTTTTGTAATATTCTGTAAGCCGCCTTGAATCGCCATGGGCGAAGAGGGAGCAATATAAATTTAATGATTAAGTTGCTAGGGATTAGATGACTTAAATTGGGAGCAATTACTAAAGATTTTAATTGAACTACAGCAAATTTGGAGAATGCCACAGTGAACACCAGGCTGAATGAGTTCATTCTACACACCAGTACCAAAGATAGTGCAAACTCTTGCACATTATTCTTAATTTCACATTTAACAAAATAATTAAGATAATCTAGCACAGAATGGAGTGGGAAATGTCAGATGTTCAAGCTTACATAAGAAAAGGCAGAGGAACAAGGCATTGCAGATCCATATTGAATAACTGAGGAATCAATATTAAAAAGGGGTGTGCTTAATTGATTATAGGGAAGCCTTTGGCTATGTTAAACGAGGGTGCTTAGGAAAATGGCAATCCCAGAACATCTTAGTCTTCACATGAAATTTACAGGAAGCCACATTCCTGATAGAATGTGGAGAGAGACTGGCTACATGTCAAGGAGACCAACAAGGTTGTATACTCTTCCCTAATTCAACCTATATGCTGGATATTTATTGAAGATCAGATTGGAAGATGAGTTTTAAAACTGGAGGAAGAAACGCCAAGCATCTGTGCTACATTGTTGATATTACTCCAATAACTGAAAAAAGGAAATGTTCTGCAAACTCTGATCAAAGTCAATTGGCTACAATTAAATAAAAAGACAATCTAGGAATAGGAATAGAGGCCAGCCCTAGAACTGCCCGTGAAGATCCTGAAGTGCCGTGGATTACTTGCCTCTTTCAGAATTGACTGTCAATAAAGGAACATGCATCACAAAAAAGTAAGCTGCAGGCTAGCACTTGGTAGGCAGCAATGAAGTCTTTGGGGGAAAAAATGTCCTGATGTCATGATGTATCAAAATTAAAAGCTGGTTGGATGACTTTGGGCCAGTCACTCTTGGCCCAACCCACAGGGTTGCCAGGAAAATAGGAATATTGTATGCTCATTGCCTTGAGTTGCCTCTGTTTTGCAAGGTGGGATTTTAAAAAAACCCATATGGTAGGTAGTGTTTTTTCCTGTAATACTATAGATGTGAAAGACTACTGATGGTGTGCAGCCAAGAGGAGGAGAGATGTAGTCTTGAGCCTCCCAAGAGCTCTCCGCTTCCTTCCACAGACTAATGCAACCAGCACACAAGACCAGAAGCATGGAACACATACAGGCAATTTATTATCTCCCGGCAACCCACCATTTCCATTGTAACCTGTAGCACCCATAGAAGAGAAGCAATTTGCAGGCCACATTCCAGGTCCACTGGCACAGTAAAAAGATCCAATCCAAAGAGCTCACAGGGGAACGGTTCAAGGCAGCGTGCTGGGGCTTGGCTCCTCAAAGGACATTTTGCTGAGCAGCTGGCTGTCCAATTCCATGCCTCCCCCAGGGAGCGGGAAGAAGTTCATCTCGGCAGCCAGTGCTGCCATTGCCGAGGGGTCCTGGCCAAATTGAGCACGCAGCATCATGTCCATTTTCTCTAGCCGCCGCTTGAGTCGCTTTGCTTCACGTTCTCGGATGAGGCGAGCCTGCCGCTTCTCGGGGGTTTCGTTTGCACGTTTGAGACGCATGGCTTCGCGATCCCTCTGCAGGCGCCGTGCTCGCTGCTCGTCTGTCTCCTGCATTCGCTGTAGGCGCTTAGCCTCCCTGTCCCGCATGCGCCTCACTTCCCGTTCCTCTGGTGTTTCACTGTCCCGGCGGCTTTTCTTGGCTGTACGTTCTCGTTCTAGGCGCTGCAGCCTTGCTTCCAGAGGCTCGTTCTGCCTCCGTAAGGCCCACTTGCGCACCCCTGGGGCTTGAGCCTCCAGAAGTTTGCGGTAAGCCACACAGCTGTTGCACACGAGGAGGAGGCCAGCAGGATACACAGCAGGGCCGAGAGCAGCAGCAGCTTTCTCTTCAGTGCTAGAAGAGCCCTCTTGGGGAGGAGCAGGCAGGCAATCTCCAGACAGCACTTCCGGCACTTTCTCACTACAAGAGAGAGAGGATCAGCGAAGGCAAGAAGGAGGACTCTCCTGAGCCAGCTTGCATGTCCTCCAGGGAAAGACCATGAATCTCTGAGGGGAAAGATCTCTCGGGCGAAGCTGCTTTTCCACCCTCCACCAAGGCTCTACTAGGATATCCTATAGCAACCTCTGGACCTTACACTGGCCAGGAACCTCCAAAATAAGACCTCCGACTTCCTTTTGCCGCAGTTTCTCACCTGTTGAAAGTGGCGTGGCTGGTGAAATGCGCCCCACATACTGCACAGTTGGACAGCTGGTCCTCTGAGTGGATGAGGAGGTGCCTACCCAGCGACCCTGGGGAGCTGAGTGCTCGGCTGCAGACAGGACACAGGTAGCTCTTGGCACTGACTGCAGCCGCTGTGTGCTGCAAACGAGGCCAGGCTGTGAGGTAAAGGCCTCAACTGCCCTGTCCCTACAAGGGCAGGCTGAAGCCAAGCCATGGAAGAAACCCCTCTTCCTTGGGACTGGAGGAGAAACACCCACAAGGCATTCCCTGAGATGGCATCCCACAAACGACATCTTTCCCAACCAGGATGAGAAAGCCTGGAGAGAAGCAAGGGCGGGGCAGTCAGCTGGCAGAATGGCCCCAGGCACCCCTCCAGATAGATACCTGGTACACGTGAGTCACAAGCTGTTCCCTGCTGCCACATTCCAGTTGACAAAGAGGACAGCGGGAGAGTCCCATCAAGGCATCTGGGTTAGTGCTGAATCCCATCTACAAGAGAGAATATTGATGGGAAAAACAGGCAGGATCATGGCGGCTCCTAAAATGGTCTGAGCTAAGTAACCACACAGGAAAGTCAGGCCGTTGTAAGAACAGAAGAAAAGACACTTCATCTGTGGTCAACTGCACATTCTCAAGCAAGACCACTACCCCCCCCCCCCCGCTTCCCCACAACCTGGCGACAGGTAGGGGAGGAGCACTTGCCTCTTGCGCTTCGATCCCGGGGTTGCCCTCCCCAGGCTGCTCCGCCGACCCCTGCTCCTTTTTCACGGCAGCCCCCCTTGTCCCGTCCTCCTCAGAAGCCGGAGAAGAGGCCTCGTCCTGGGTGGTCTCCTCCTCGCTCTCACCTGCAACGCAAGCCGAGGCTCGGAAGGGAGGGCCGCGAGCGCGCAGCCCCCCCCCTCCCGCGGGCTGTCCCTGCGCGCCCCCTCCCCAAGCGGAGGCAACTCACTGCTGCTGGAGGCTCTCCCCGGCGGGGGCGACGGCAGCTCCTGCCCCACGACGGCAGGCTGGACGCCCAGCAGCCCCGGGAGGCTCTTCCTCATGGCGGCCCGCCGCTTGTGCTCTTCCAGCCCGGCCAAGACCTGCTCCCCTACGGACAAAAGCGGCAGGGCGCGTCACCCGGACAGCCCACCCGGCCCGGAGGCCCCGGGAAGCGGACGCGGAGGGGCTGCCCGGCCGTACCCGCCCTCCCGCCAGCGCCGCCGCGGCCACGGGCGCTGCTCCGGCTCGGAAGGCGGGCGCTGGCCGGGCCCCCTCCCGCAGCCCCGCCCGTTACTCACAGCGCACTTTATTGGGGGTGGCCTGTTTCCGGCGGGACATGGCTTCCCCCCCGCGGGGGCGCCCCTGCGGAGAGAAGAGCCCCGCGTCGCGCCGCGCGGCTGGGGCCCCCCCCCCGCCCC